ATGAATTTTGTATGATCCCTCTTATTTTGGTAAAATAATAAACATTTTGCAGATTCTGAAAGGGGGATGTAAACTTTTGAGCTCAACTGTACACATTAGATACATCTTTTTTTTCCAAACATCACAAACAAAACAAACAACAAAAATGAGCTCAAGTCCTTCATTGTCTTCCTGCTCCGCTGACAAGGTTTCTCCATTTCTCTGCTTCACTGAAGCTGTCACTCCACCTCAGTACTCCACTGAGGATGTCTCTCCACCTTCCTGCTACTCTTGAGACATCGCTCCTCCTTGCTTTGCCGTTGACATTGCCCTACCCCAAGCTTTGTGGAGGATGACACTCCCCCTTTGGCTTCGTGAAGAACGTCGCTCTCTCCTCTGGATCTGCGGATGATGTCATCTTCCGACTGCCTGACTCTGCACAAGACGTTGCTCCACCCCAAGTCTTCACAGAGGGCAGCGCTCTGCCTCCTTGCTCTGCGGTGGATGCCACTCTGCCTCTGTATTCCACTGAGGAGGTTGCTACGTCTACCTGTTCTGCTGAGGATGCTACTCCTCCTGGCCAATGCCTGAATCAAGGCCCCTGGAAGCTTATGGACACTGGGCTGTGGCTCTCCGTGCATGGAGCAGATCCCAGCGCAAACAGAGCTTCCACGTTTTTTGTTTTGATCACTGTCATGTGCATTCTGTTTTGGTTTGAGACTTACCTCCTTCCATGTCTTGTCACTGGTTTATTGCCCTATTGTGCCTTGATTGTATTCACCTGTTTTGTATAAGTTTCAGTGCAAGGTCTTGTCATGCTTTATGTCAATCAAATCCTGAGCCATATTTCTTTGTTTCTGTGTTTTCCTGCTTCCTTATTTTTCTAGTTGCTTCCTGGTTTAGAACATTACCAGACAAGTCAAGTTTGACTTGACTTTTGAAGACTTTTGAAGTGTGAAGTTTCGGATCATGGATTGTCCCAGTTTGTTTTTGCCTGCCTGTGCTTCGATGCTATGAACTATGACGATGATTTCTGGTTTGCCCACAATAAAAAGCATGCTGATCTCATACACTTGCATCCTGTCACTGCTTAGCACCATTTGTTACACAATATTTCTTGTTCCTTTTGAAAATTCTTGTAATCTATATTTAAGTCACATAATATTGCACAATCAATTAAATTTCAAATGCTAAAGATGATACATCTGTAGCTTGGCAGGCAAACCTGTCAAAAGATGATAGGTGTTGTTGCCTGGTTATACTGGGTTCTAAATGAAAACTACTTGTTTGGGGAAACATTTTAATTTGAGGTAAAATCTACTTATTACTACTTCAAATCCATTGGGCTGTCATCTGATATGCTTCAAGGATGAGGAAAATCTGACCTTTTGTACAAAGCAGTTGACATGGTGAATATCACAAATTTGCTTACATTTAAATAGGGACCTAAAAATAACACAGAATCCATCCATTTTCTATACCGCTTATCCTACACAGATTCACGGGGAGGCTGGAGCCTATGCCAGGGAAGTAAGGGCATGAGACACCCTGGACGGGGGCCAGCCCATCTCAGGGCACCTACAGACACTTTGGAAATGCTAATCAGCCTACAACGCACGTCTTTGGACTGGGGGAGGAAACTCTAGTACCTGGAGAAAACCCCCGAAGCACAGAGAGAACATGTACACTCCAAACACACAGGGCGGGACCGGGAATCAAACCGTGTCCCCTTAATACAGAATCTTGAATATTAAATTTTCAAGATATTGAACTTTTCTTTCTTTTAAATATTTCAAAATTCTAAAACCTTCTGTTTATTTCCAATTTTAAATTTAAAAAAAATCCCAGATTTTCAATGTGGTCTCAGACTTTGGACCACATATCAATTCAGGTGAAATGCATGCTCACTTCGGTTAAGGTCTGGTGATTGACTTGGCCAGTCTAAAAGCTTCCACTTTTTCTCCTGATCAAGTCCTTTGTTGCGTTAGCAGTGTGTTTTGGTTTTGATGTTTGGTTTGCATTCACAGTATTTCTGTCATCAACCACTGTTGTTTTCCTTTACAGGTGAAACCCAGGGCTCGAACCAAGAGTAGACATTCAGAGCTATAAATTGTTTAAACAATCAATCTAACAGGATCAACAGCCTTCAATATTTTTGATCACATGAAAAATTGGTAGCTTCAAACAAAAGGTACCATGTTCTAAGTTATTTAACACATCTAGATGTAAATATCAGGAAATGAAAGCTAAAATCCTGATCTATCGTCTCATATTCATCTTTTGATCTCAAGTGTAAAGCAAAAGCAAAAGAACTGGCCTTGCTGTTCCAGTTCTTTGGCCTTGCTGTTCCAATACAATATATATATATATATATATATATATATATATATATATATATATACATGGATCATGCATCAGCCTCTTTCAGCAGGATAATGCGCCCTGCCATACTGCAAAAATTGTTCAGAAATGGTTTGAGGAACATGACAAGAGTTCAAGGTGTTGACTTGGCCTCCAAATTCCCCAGATCTCAGGTCAATCGAGCATCTGTGGAATGTGCTGGACAAACAAGTTCCATCCATAGAAGCCCCACCTCATAACTTACAGGACTTAAAGGATCTGCTGCTAACATCTTGGTGCCAGATACATCAGCACACCTTCAGAAGTCTTGTGGAGTCCATGCCTTGATGGGTCCAGAGCTGTTTTGTGTAGGCACAAGGGAGACCTACACAATATTAGGCAGGTGGTTTTAATGTTATGGCTGATCGGTATGTGTGTGTATGTATATATATATATGTATATATATATATATATATATATATATATATATATATATATATATATATATATATATATATATATATATATATATATATATATATATATACAGAATATACAGTATAGTATATTATATATCACAATATATCATCCAGAGACAGTACAGGTTCCTATACAATCCCCTACTCCAGAGTTCCCACGGGAGCTTCAGGCAGGTGTGGTGTTGCTCACCAATCCCAGGATGAGGGCCCTCAGTTGGATTTTTTCCCCAGTGAACAACAGGGAGGTTTCAGGTCTCAGGAAGGAAAACTCTGACTGTTGTTTGTGCATGTGCAAATACAGCAATCAGCCATTACATTAAAACGAACCTCTTCTCCCTTGTACCAAGGTAGGTCATGGACATAAAATCTGAATGGACCAAGTTCAAGTCTTCAGCTGTAGATCAGAAGGCTGTCAGTGCCTGTGTAACAAACTTCACTGATGGGCACGGAGGAGGCGAGAACCGTGTGAACTCAAATGTAACGTTTAATAATAAACAGAACTCCAACATAACAAAAACATACGTAGCACCAACATAAAACACACGTACGCCTCTCTCTCTCTCTCTCTCTCCCTCAGGTGTTTCCAGCCTTTCCTTTATCACTCTCTCCCACTGATTGGACAACTTAGTGCCAGACGTGCATACTCACAGCGTGGCTCCTCCCTCCTCTTCGTCACACTCCTCTGCGGCCAGATTCAGGCCTCTGGCCTGACGTACACCCCCTCCTCCCCTTTCAGGAAGAGCGGTGCTCCTCTCTCAGCTACGTCCTTTGGCCAGCCAGAAAAGAAAAACACTGGTCCCCAGACATGCTGTCATCTGGTCCTAGGCCAGCTGGGAAGCGATCCCCTACGACGCCGTGCTCTGGCACTGGACCTCCTGGTGGACACCTACAGCTCCTCCCCTTTTCAGGTGGACAGCAGCCGCACCTCCGCCTCCCAGTGGACAGCAGCGGGTCCTCTGTCCCCAGGCGGATGGCAGCTGCTCCTCCCCTTTTCAGGTGGATGGCAGCTACACCTCCGCCTCCTGGCAGATGGCTACTGCTCCTCCCCTTTTCAGGTGGATGGCAGTGACTGCTCCCCTTTTCAGACTGACAGCAGCGACTCCTCTGTCCTCCGGCAACCGCTCCAGCACCACACTTCCTCGGTGCTGCGATCCTCCCGCTCTCCAACAGCACGTCCCTCCTCCATCCCTGGTTTCAGCACCAGTGTAACAAACTTCACTGATGGGCAAGGAGGAGGCGGGAACCGAATGAAGTCAAACGTAATGTTTAATAATAAACAGAACTCAAACATTTCCAGCCACTCCTTTATCACTCTCTCCCACTGATTAGACAACTCAGTGCCAGGCGTCACAGCCTGGCCCAGCCTGGCCCCTCCCCCCTCCTCATCACAGCCTGTTACATTTACATTTATGGTATTTGGCAGACGCCCTTATCCAGAGCGACTTACAATTATCTCATTTATACAACTGAGCAGCTGAGGGTTAAGGGCCTTGCTCAAGGGCCCAGCAGTGGCAGCTTGGTGGTGCTAGGATTTGAACTCGCAACCTTCCGATCAGAAGTCCAACATCTTAACCACTGAGCTACCACTTCCCTTCTGTTATTGAAGTAAACCTAGGATGTGCTGGTGGACACCAGTGTCGTGGGACGCCGTCAAGGAAGCCTTCGAAGTAATGCGCACCGATGGCTCTCACATCTCTCAGCCTCCCAGGAAAGGTCTATGCTCTGTAGAGGACACTCTGATATTCTGTCTGAATAGAACATAGGGCATAGAAGTACACTATCCAGACTACATGTGTTTGTGATTTTAGTCTATAATCATGTGCCTCACCATTTGTTGTGATAGTTATTACTGAGGGAGTACTGGGTATCAGAGTGACTGCTTTGTGTGATCTGGTCTCTCTTTGAGTGCAGTGAGAGTTGTGTCCACATTCTTGGTGTTAAGTCAAAACCATTTAAGGTGAATCCTCCACTCCATCAAGGGGGTGTCTTCTTACTACTTCTGCCTGATGGTTGTGAAAACCTTGCACTGTCAACATGCAAGCATTAATGGCTGTCAAGGCACAAAGGGTAGTACTCCTTCCATTTACTGCTTGTAGTTAACTGTCCCTGCTACCATCCAAGAATGCCCTCTTGTTTTTGACCTCCATAGGAGTGCCATCTCCTAATAACTGGCTCCATTTCAAACTGGATCCTCTTCATTGGTCCCTGGTGGTCTAGTGGCTAAGGATCCTGCGCTCTCACCACCGTGGCCTAGGTTGGATTCCTGAACAGGAAACCAACCCAGCCACTGGGAGTGTACTCTCAGTGCCAGTCCCAAGCCCAGATAAAATGGGATGGTTGTGTCAGGAAGGGCATCTGGCATAAAACCTGTGGCAAATCAAACATGCGGACCAATGATCCGCTGTGGCGACTCCTAACGGGAGCAGCTGAAAAGAACAACAACAACGACATTCCCCATTTCATTGTGGAGTGAATACATACCTGAAACTAATTGCTGTTCTTATTATTAACTATATCATCATACAGAGGGATTTTCACCTCCGATATGTAGCTATGGCCCCACCTGCTCCTGTGGACGAGCCCCTATTGATATGTACAGTTAGTGGCAAATAAAGACATTCACAAAGTTTTTTTTTTATGCTTTGTTTATGCTAAAAATTATGCTTCTCTTAACCAGGAATATTCATTCACCACTTCCTGTGACCCATGTCAATCTCCTCATGGGCCATATCTGCACTCGCTGACTCCCAAATACATCCATGCACCCATTCAGTGTCTGAGTCCCAAATATGATGTGCTTATGCAGTCTCTAATTCCCAAATGCGTCCATGTGCCCAGTATTTCAGTATAAACAGAAAGCTATGTCAAGTTTCATTCTCACATTCATCTTGGAGAGTCATTTAGCATGCAGTGAGAGATCAGCTGTGACGTAACTACCCGATTTTAAAACCCCAGAAGCAAATGGCACCTCACATCAATTCCACTTCATTGCCTTGAGGGCTTTTTGGCCAAATCCGACGACAAAAATCAAATGTATTCATTTTGAGTGTTGCAGTTATCGAGTATGACTTTTTTTTCCCCCCTAAACTAGCTTATACTTTACTAAAACTAATACTCTTACCAAATGCGTTTTGTTTTAAACCTTAAAGGCTATCGGTTTGCAGTCTGACCAGCAGTCAGTAGCTTGGCGCCGTTGGCGGGAGCCGCGCGCGCTGACGTTTCAGCAGCAGCAGCGGCCACGCGCGCCGAGAGGGAAGGCATCGCGCCTCTTCTCACATCCATCTGAGCGGCTCGCGCACACAGAGCCCAGCATTACAGCGCACAACTTCACCGGGAGTCGCATCTGAGCCTGAAGTTAGAGCGATGCAACACAGTCGCCATTTAAAGTCCAACCACATCTCATCGACTTCTTTTTAACACCCACAAAACGACATTTTCTCTCTTTCTTTCTTTTTTTTTTTTTTTTCTTCGGAACATATTGTTGTTTTTTTTCCGGTTGATGCGAGACCTTCTCCGTCATATGGAAACGATGTGGACCTTACACGACTCTGTTGGATTGGTTTTCTTTTCCTGTTTGTCGATCCAGATCGGATTTTCTCTTCAAGGTGAGCGATTATTATAAAAAAAAAAAAACAGAAAAAAAAAAAAACGAGATAGATCATATTTCTGATCACACTTTAATCAAACTGATTTGTTTTCTTTGATCGTCCTGGATGACGAGCTTATATCGATCACAGTATTAATCTCGACTGATGTGATTCGCAGGTTAAGTGGCAGAATGATGATTTTTAGGGCATGTAGCCTAGTAACAACTGTTGATTTCGGATAACTGAATAATGTGCCTTTTAGCCCCGCTAGTGACCATGCATGGTGCTCGCTCTTGCCGGAGCTCGTGATGCTCTTTCTTGCCGTTAAGCGCGAGGGAATAAACTTTGAAGGGGCGTCACGCGCGAGCTGCATCTCAAGTTGTCGGATGTGCAGAAGCTAGGCTCGTGTTCGGGCTTTGGCTTCTCACGTTCAGCATCCCCCCCTTCAACCCCCCCCCCCCCCCCCAAAAAAAAAAAAAAAACCTGGATGCAAAAGTCAGTTTACCATGTGGGCTATTAATTTGCGTAGACCTCGAACTATAGTTCGAACTGAACTGCCTTTTTTTTTTTTATTCCTGTGGAAAAATAATCATATGAAATATGTTCCCCCTAAATTAGCCCATACTCGTCCGCAACTAGAATCAGTACTGATCTTAAACGCTGCCAGGCGATTTTTATTGTGTGATGCATAATATAATTCGGCTGCATTTTAACTCATCGTAAAAGAGTAACATCGCAACAGACTGCTTTTCTGTTGCGCATTTGCCATGGCTCATGTATGGGCGCATTTGCTTCGCAGGCAGATTCACCGATCTGCCATCAAACCTCACTGCCAGGGAGGGCCAGAACATTGAGATGGCGTGCGCTTTCCAGAGCGGCACCTCCTCCGTTTACTTGGAGATCCAGTGGTGGTTCATCCGCGCTCCTGAGGAGCCGAGAACGAGCGAGGAGGAGGAGGAGGCGGAGGAGGAGGAGACCGAGGTAATCACGCGTTATGGCGCTACAAGATGGGGAAAAATCTAAGAATGGTGGACTATATAACATTATATATGTGTATATATATATATATATATATATATATATATATATATATATATATATATATACTTGTTCAGATCCCCACTTTGTCTCATTTTCAAAGGATGTTAGATTATATTATATTTGGAGATGACGTCTTAAAAATTCATCAGGCTTAACAGTAAGGAGGGTAACAACTATACAGCTTTTTTTCTCATTTTCCTAATTGAATGACAAAAGCTATAGAAATGATGAACAGTATGAGCTCACTGATAGGGTGAAATAAGAAGATTGGTAAACATAAATAATATATCATATTTATAACACATAGATAGATAGATAGATTGATAGATAGATAGATGTGTCCAGGTATATACTAATTTTCCTTGTGTTAGTGGCAGAATGTATCATTCAGGTAATATTCTGTAAAAAGTGCCATCTATGACTACTATATAAATAGTTAATTAATGCATCATTTGTCTATAAGCTTAACACAAACGAACAATTACAAAGGTATGTCAACAGCGGTGGCTTTAGTGAGTATGCATTTGTGTCGTCTAACCAAAGTGATCACGATACTTTCTGCTCTGAGAGCACATTTCACTATATAAAGCAGTTTGCTTATATCAACAAGCCAGTGCTAAAATGAAGTGATCTTATGGCATTTACTGAATGCTAGCCTGCTGATAAATATGGATAAATTGATCAATCAGGTGGAGTAGGTATACCTTCACATATAGAGCTGAATTATGTTCATCTCCTGATTTGCTTGACTTGAGAGACTAGAAAAGCCTCGCTTTGTAAAGTTGCAACATCTATATCTATTGTGCAGAAATGCTTTGAAACGCAAAGCTATCCATTATCTCTCTACTGCAGAACAGTTCATATGTCTTTATGTTCCTTCTGTTTGACAGAGCTTAGAAACCTGCTGCATTCTATAGTGTTTTATCTCAGTTATTTTTTAAATGTAAGTTGAGTACGTATGTTGCGTTTAGTTAGCTGCATATATATATATATATATATATATATATATATATATATATATATATATATATATATATATATATATATAAAATACATATACATACATACTGTACCTCAAATGGAACTGCATTTTTGATGGTCAAAAAAATAATCCTATGCATAATATATATATATATATAGTATTTACATGCACAATATAGTCTTTATATAATTGGCTGCTGTTTATATAAAACTCAAATATACTCAAAGCTGTCAGTGTGACTCAATGTCAGTGAGATTCCACCAGCATGGTTCCCACTAAATTTAAGTCTCACCTTTCTTGAGATCCCCATAGATTTGTATGACACACTCGCCGTAAGGCAACTGGACTCATTTTGAAGGACAGGATGTAGGACTGAGGCATATCTGGAGATGGCATCTTAGGCTTCCAGCAGGCTTATTAGTAATGGCATTGCTTGAATGACAACAAGTCTGTGTGTGACAGTCTGCGTCTGTGATGTTTCTAAAAGGAGCTGATCTTGAAACATTTGTGACAGCATTACAAAAGCACTGTGACACCCATTTGTAGTGTGTGACATGTTCTGTGTTTATTTATAAAGCAAACTGTAATCTGTGTTACACCTTATCATGTCTAAGACTGCCTTGTAGCTCACATTTTAGAGAGGCACAGATATACTTAACCTTGTCACAATGCTTCATAATCACTTTGAGCAAATGCCATGGCTTGTTGTGACATTCCATTAAGTCATCAGAGCTGTTTTTTATTACAGTAGAATTGCAGTCAATGGCACTGCAGTAATACCACTGCTTGCTCGTGTTAAGCCTTCACTCAGTCTCTGTGTATTTGGCGGCATTTTACAGTTTGTCATCGCTGACACCAAGAGCAGACTTGCTTCCTTTCATAAGTGCCTTTTCCTTCACCTGGTCTGCACAATGAGGCAAAGGTGGCTCTTTTTTCTCTCCTCAGAAAAATCTGCTTGGGTTTAATACCACTATTACTACACTATTGTTGTCACTTATCATGCACATATTGCTGAGGCTTTGATCCACGATTTCTATCAATTTCAGATCTGGAATGACAATAGCTGCTGTGCCATAAGTGGCGTTGTTCATAGAAACTCATTCTTTCCAGAGCAGCATGCTTCAGATGACAGGCAGCTGGGTCTCTGGTGAGCTGAGGCTTTGACCAAAACAAGGATTGAAGAGGTATTCTATGAAAAGATGTTATTGACAAATCAGAGTAAGAAGATGGGTGACTACTGCAAATGGGCACTGAGATGTTACACTAAAAGTGCTAACCTATGAAGGGTATCCATTTAGAACATGAATATGAATTTGTATTCAGCATACTGGTGATGTGGGCTGCAGCAGTAATGTTGTTGTGTTAAGCATAATATAAAGCTGATGTCATGCATGGGTCTGAAAATTAGAAGGGAGAGCCCTTTGAGATCTTACACTCTTAATAATAATAATGAATGAAGAAATATTCATTTAAATATTTGTAATGGTATCAAAATTATAATGCTATCAAAATCCTAATGGGTGAATCTGATGTTCTCAAGTAGGATCAGTGACAGCTGGTGATGATATTGAATGCCATGTAGCATGGGGTGTGACCATAGGCATAAAACATTTGTGCATACACATTAAACCACACATTAATTGCGTTCTTTATAAGTCAAGTATT